CACCAATACCGACCTCTTAGGTTATGTGTCTTGGTGATTATGGTGATGTTATGTTGTAGTGATATGTTAGATTTGTATGATCATCTGTTATTTTTTGAATATTTGATAAGTGCATATGTCCACATATTTTAACGGTTTGGGTTGAGGCAATTCCACTTTGTGTTGAAGGCCAAGATACCGAGAGCTTTCTAGACATGGGATGAGGACCCTGCAAGGGTATTCTGGAATCATGCTAAGGTCTCGGGAGAATTCCAAACATGTGTTGAGGATCAAGAAGGGAATTCCAGACTCATGTTGTGGGCACGGGAACAAACCATATATAATTTGTGGGACGAAAAGGCAAGCCAACCTTATGTTGTAGGCTCAGGGATAATCCAGTTTGTTGGTTGTGGACCTAGTATGCTTGTTATATGTTGTGTGGTGGTATATTGGAGGAACTCACTAAGTTTTGGCTTACAATTTGATTTTATGATTTCAGGTACTTTATAGGACAAGGGAAAGGCGAAGGCTTGATTGTGCACATCATCTAGGATTTTATGTGATATGAGGATTTTGGGATACTCTTATTCATGATATTGGATTTTGGAAACTAATTTTATAAAACTTATGAATTTTAGGATGGTTTTTTAAAATGAAAATTTTACCTTGATTTTTGGGATGTTATAGATGTACACCTTGATGAGGTTGTATAGTGGCTATTAAACTGATTAATGTAGTCTTATGAGTGTGTAGAAGTTGGTGACACAACTTCTGAATCACTAAGGTTCCCTATTGCAAAATCAGTTTCTGATTTAAAAAATGAATTATCATCACCAATATAACCATTTGAAAACACAAAAGAAAGAAAGGTCTTATATCTTCTAAGTGCAATCACTTCTACCTACATTTCTCTTGATTTCAATACCTCACTATCTTACAGATCCCCATAAAATAGATCATTATGTGATTCAATAACTTTGATGTTAAAGGTTAGTAACACAACGCGTCTTGGCTACATAGGGAATTCATTAGTTTTACAACGTTCAGGAGAAAAAAAGATATCATAACCACTTTTATCCCATTATTTCGGGTCCTATTTTTCAAGTCGTAACCTTCTTTGTATGGATATCAATAAGTTTTGTGGGGTCCGGATCCCATATGGAGAATATTTGTTTAAAAAATTGGAGGTGCAGGCGGGGCTAAGGTTAACCATCGTTTTAATTTTGGGGATGGGGACGGAGGTGTACAGTCACGTACCGAACCCACCATAGGGTCCCCTTTAATATTATATATATATATATATATATATATATATATATATATATATATATATATATATATATATATCAATGATTTTGAGTTTCTAAAATTCAACAAATAATCATGTTTTTAAGTTGTTAGTATAATTTGGGATATGGTAACATTTTTGTTTTTAACATGTAAAATTATGTTATAAACAATTATTTTTAAGCGGAAAAAACAAGTTTTTTAGTCCAATAAAAAAAATCTCAAAATCAATCGGGGGCGAGGGCGAAGGGTAATCCATAAATTCGAGGGGGGGGGGAGACTGGAAATTTCGGAGGCGAGAGTGGGGTCGGGGGATCCGCGATACTCCTATCTCATACTTCATTCATAGATTGCAATTCAAGGACATAGTCTCTTAATAACACATAATGTATCTTGTAATCGCCTATAACTTGATTGTATGCTTTCGTTTTTGCTATAAAAACCTTCATCCGCGATACTCTTATCTCATACTTCCTTTCCAAATTTTCCTGAAGAGCCTTCAGAGGTATGGTGGGGTTACTCTTGATTTGATCAACAATCTTATTTGAAAGATATGTTGCTATGCAAGCTTTAATTTTTCTTGATTGGAGGCAAGTATGGTTATCCTTAAAATTTTGACAACCCAATCATCTTCCTCTCGTCATTTAGAAACGTAAAGTACCTAATGACAAGACCTTGACATTGATTTTACCCCTTTACCCTTGGTTGTAGTACATTTGCTTGGCTCACTCCTAGTAGAAAGTGACAAATTTAGGATGGTACCATTACATACAACCTTCACTCTATCATTTTTGCCCAATTAAATTTCTCTCATTCTCTCTATTGCATAATTTTCAATGGCTTCTTTGACTTCTGTGGATGTGTAAAAAGCTCGACTTATAGAAAAGTGTGTCCCTTTTGAACCAACAACCTCAATCTCTTTGTTTTGTTTCCTTAGCGCCCTTAACTTACTTTTCCTAATTCTATCTATACCCTCTCCACCTTCAGAAATGCAATCAAAATATTCATTATCCAATACATCTATGTTCTCATTATCTTCATCTGTAACATCCCTAAAGTTGGATTTTGGCTCAATCCATTCCGAATCATTATTAGTATTCACATAGAAATCATTCATATCAACTTCTACATCATGCAATACGTCCTCCTCATCGACATATAAGTCATCATCTTCACTTCCATTGTCTTCATATTCACTTACATCAAAACCATCTTCACCATCTGGTTCCTCATGAATTGGGTCAGTACCTTGTGACATTGAATGGTCAACGGGTGGGAGAGCGTGTTCACTGGATATTGTTTTATCAAAAGCATTACCAATGTTAAAATCCCGATTTGGAAACCAATTTAATTCAATCTTTTTTCCACAAGATGACTTTGTGGAACTAGAACCTCGTGATCGTACTCTAGTATAATTAGGGGCACCATCATCTTCAATTTCCTGAATAATACACATTAGAACCTCTTGGTGACTGGAAGTCAGTGTAAACCCTTGTCTTATCTAGTTCAATATATACCTCTAGCAATCTATGTTTTGGGACATAGCTTGTTAGTTTGCATACATCACCATCACTACCTAAAGCCATCAACCCAACATCAAGATCACTATCAGGCTTCTTAAAATGGTAATACATTTTCCTATTACCATCATACCCTAATTGTAGCATCATGGAGTCTAACTCATGAACTGAGAACTCGTCTGCATCCAAGAAATCAATGTACGAATGTCTTCCATTCACATATTGTCTTCCAGGAAACTTTGAGAATTCACCACCATGATATATTTTCAAAGAAAACATAGTTGGGTGTGAAGCTATAAAAAATACTAGGAGCTTTGATCCCAAGAAGGTATTATGAAGACGCATACATATTATTCTGTAAAACTAGAGAAACATACCGTAAATAGCATCGATGTCTTCATGCTCGTTACTAAAACACACGTTCTACATCGTTAACAACATCCTAAACTTTGTCAATCAACAATCGACAAATAGCAATTAGGGTTTTCAATGAGAGAATTTTTCGGGAGGAAGGAAGACACTTATGGACTACAAATACGTATTAGTCTTGGTATATGAAATGAGGTTTTAAATATAGGGACGATCGATACAATAATCATCACGATTTTAATCATATCTTCAAATGGACAGCAGTAGGAAACATATGTTAAAAGACCAAATTGCTCATCATGTGCTTGGCACATGACATAACTTAACGACTCTAGCAAACGTCATAGAGACATGGGATCATATGCGCAACAAAAAAATAGTTTAAGGATGATTTACGTTCAAATTAAAAACTCAGGACTTGATTCAAAATAAGTATATAATCTTAGGGACGATTTTTGTAATTTTCTCAACTAAATATATAATTTAATCTTTATATTTCATGGAGTAATCCTTATGAAACGACACCATTTAAAACTACTTATATGCGATCTATACAATGATATAATATTATCGATTATAGTTTATTCATATTAAATAGCACTTTTGTCTTCATTAATCAAATTTATTTAATTTAGGTGTCTAGTTATGCATAATTACATGTTTTGAATATCCATTTATTGTTTTAAACCAACCAACAGCACAATAATTAAATTTGTCATTCCTTTTTGTGACGATGTTTATTTGATTCACTCGTACATTCTATTTATTTATTAATATTTATTAATGTTTCCATTTCTTGATACCTAACATGCAATTACAACATGTGATGTTTACATATAAACAAATCTAAACCACAACTAATATCAGGGGTGAACCTATATAGAAGCATAAGATAGACGGTGTTATTTACGGTGTGTTATTTATTACATTTTTTTCTGGCATCGTCACTCTCCAATACATCTAAGAATGCAATTAGCTAAAAGATATTAAGTTGCAACTTTTTCCTTCATGACGTGAGTCTTTTATTTGTGATTTTCATGTTTGTTACTTAGGATGGTGGCATGTAGGATGTAGGTTTTGTTACTTGTGAGTATAGGCGGCTTGGGTTAGATCGTCTAAACATTATAAATTTATCAAAATAAAAATTTGGATATTTAACGGGTCCATATTATTTAAATAACGAAATTGACATAACCAATATGACGATTACGTTTGTTTTCTTTTTTTAGGGTCATAACAATTATTCTTATGAATTCTCTTAAATATATCATTTATTAATTTTAAAAAACTTAACCTTCTATATATCTATTTTATTATTTTATTTATTTTAATTATCTTATATTGTTTTTATTAATTAGAAACTAGTTTTCATTAGTCATGACCAATTCTCAAATGTTACTTCGGATTTAAAATAACTAAAATATCAATATATGCATAATGCATGTAATTTACAAGAATATCTCATGTTTGTAAATTGGAAAAATACCAAAATAACATTTAATTTGATTTGGGTTATATTGAAAACTTAAATTACGAGCTTAATCTTGTTCATGTGTTGATTAATTTTGATTTAGAAAAATAAATTTCAAATCAATGTGTTTGAAAAAGGCGAGCGGTTGAAAAAGGAGTGGTGAAAAGAAAATATATTCCTTTTAAGTTTTCACACATGTTTTAGAGATCGAATAATTTTATAAATCAGATATTTAATATTAAAATTAAATTAATTAAAAAGTTTTAGACGAAATCTGCAAATAAAAGAATACTCCTCGAATTAAAATTTCAAATTTGTAATTTACTTTAAAAAGTATATAGTATATAATAACTATAAACATCTTCAATTGGGCAAGAAAATTGAATCAAAAATAGGGTTTTAAGTCTCAGCGGTTTATAAACTGCCCTACGAAGTACTCCCTCTCTCTTCCGCCGCCAGCCACCAATAATTCCGGCATACGAATCAAGGAGGAGTACAAGAACGACGACCTGATAACATGGGAGGCGGTGAAGAGACAAAAACAGGGGAAGAAGAGAACCAGAAGAGTTCCACACCTTTTGATCTTAATGATTATACCATCATCAAAGAAGGAGAGGCTGAGATTTTGATGCACACCAAGAATGAAGTCTTTTACAATAAAACCCAGGTCAATATTTTGCTTAGTAATCACTAGATTTCTGCTATAAATTGGATTATCCTTATTTTGCTACACGTTTTGATATTATCTATTAACATATGTACCTCCTTCAGTCCATAGCATTATGAAACATTTCTGACTATTAAAATTCTAAAATTGGCAGGTTAACAACAGAGATATGTCTGTTGCTGTTCTCAGGACGTTTATATCAAAACGAAAAGAAGAACATGAAGCACAGCTGTCTAAAAGAACAAAAAAAGCAATGAAGGAATCAGAAGACCATGATTCTGGATTAGAAGCACCAAGTGGGACTACTGCCTCTAATGGTAAATCCAACGGTGAATCTGAAAAGATGCCACATGGCGAAGAACCAGAGGCTAAATTCCGAGGGGAGTTAAAGCCACCTAGAGTGCTTGAGGTTTCAAATCTATTCGCTTTTGTTTTACATATCACATCTTCACCTTGTTTTAATGCCTTTCTTTGCTAATTAACATAAGTTTTTTCCTTGAATCAATAGGCTCTATCAGCTACAGGGTTAAGAGCTCTAAGATATGCTCGTGAAGTCGAAGGGATTGGACAAGTTGTGGCATTAGACAATGATAAAGGTTGGTCAATTTGTATATTCACGAATCATGTTTCATGATTTATTTGTAAAATCTAATTATTGATATGTTTATTCTTGTTTTCGTGTGTGTAGCATCTGTTGAAGCTTGCAGGAGAAATATTAAATTCAATGGTTCAGTTGCAAGTGCAAAGGTGGAATCAAACCTTGCTGATGCTCGAGTCTATATGCTTACTCATCCAAAGGAATTTGACATGGTATGATTTGCAACATCCGAGTTCTCACTGTAATTTTATCATTCATATGTCAAGTAAGGTTACATGATTAACTTATAATCTTGTAGTTATAACTAGAATTTATTGATTTAATCTTGTTCAGGTTGATCTTGATCCATATGGTTCACCCTCTGTGTTTCTTGACTCTGCGGTTCAGTCAATTGCTGATGGAGGGATGCTGATGTGTACAGCAACAGATATGGCAGTTCTATGTGGAGGCAATGGAGAAGTCTGCTATTCCAAGTAAGATTCTATTATCTATAGATTATTTGCTTTCAAGAGTACACATGAACAATAATTTATTAAATTTTCTGCTCTGTTGTTATGAGCTAGATATGGTTCCTATCCACTTAGGGGAAAATATTGCCATGAAATGGCTTTGCGGATCCTTCTTGCATGCATTGAGGTATTTTTTTTTTTTTTTTTCTTCCTTCTTTTCTGGTTTTTCAAGTTTAAAATTCTATCTTATTTCTCGACTTCATGAAATACAGAGTCATGCAAATCGTTACAAGCGATACATTGTCCCAGTGTTATCTGTTCAAATGGACTTCTATGTCAGAGTATTTGTTCGTATATACACGTGAGAATATCCTTTATTTCACCTCTCAAAAGAAGCATGGAAAAAGCCAGTAATTTTGCTAAATTATAAAACAATTACAGGTCAGCAGGAGCAATGAAGAACACTCCACTTAAGCTTTCATATGTTTACCAATGTATCGGTTGTGATTCTTTTCATCTCCAGCCAGTTGGAAGGACTGTATCGAAGGTGCACATCTTATTTTAATTTTTTGATAAACTATTATTTTTCTTTTTTCTTGAAATCATTTTACCTTTTTCTTAGAACGCCAGTGTGAGATATCTCCCTGGGTTTGGTCCTGTTGTTTCACAAGAATGTAGCGACTGTGGTAAAAAATATAACATGGGTGGGCCCATTTGGTCGGCTCCAATTCATGATCAAGATTGGGTGGGGTCCATATTAGCAGACGTGAAATCTATGAAGGATCGCTATCCTGCTTTTGATCGGATTTCTGCTGTCTTGACTACAGTTTCAGAGGTGCGTTTGTTGCTAAAAAGATTATAATAATCATTATCGGTTTCTAAATTCTAACCTTTTTAATTAAAAAAATTTCAGGAATTGCCAGATGTACCCCTATTCCTGAGTTTACACAACCTTGGTGGTACCCTTAAGTGCACTTCCCCATCAGCTATGGTGTTCAGATCTGCTGTAATCAATGCAGGGTATCGTATCTCAGGAACTCATGTGAACCCCTTAGGGTTAAAAACTGATGCTCCTATGGATGTTATATGGGATATCATGCGTTGTTGGGTAAGCTACTTCCATTATATATATATTTTTTACTTATAATATCAGTGTAGTTGCATTTTGGTATTATTGATCGATCACATTGTATTTGTAGGTTAAAAATCATCCTGTGAAAGCTCAACCACCGGAACATTCTGGAAGTGTGATCCTAGCCAGGGAACCTGTGCTTCAGGTATGGTTCATTGTTAATTGGTAGGGCATGAATAGGGGCAGAAAGGTAATTACTTACTACTTACATGTGTGGTTGGTTGGGCAGGCTAATTTTGCTCGGGCAGTGGCATCGCTAAGTAAAGCTCAAGCAAAGAAAGTTGCGCGGTTTCTTCCAAATCCTGAAAGACATTGGGGCCCGAAGCTGAGGGCTGGGCGTACTATTACTAGCAAACATGCATCTCTTTTGGGTCCAGAAATAGTTGATGGGATTCTTAATAACAACAACAACAATCAAGAACAACAGGATGAACCTGAACCCAAGCGTAAGAAGACACAAGAAGAACCTACTCCAATTTCTTCTTCATAAAATACTTGATTTTTTTTAATACACCTCTCTTAATCTTAATCTGCATTTCTGTGCAGAAATAGAGTGATTCTATTTTGTAATCTCAAACGTCAAGTCTTGTTTTTGTATGTTTTTTTTTTTTCTTCTAATCGGTATCATGTATTAGCTTGAATGGAAATTCATGTAATTAGCTATATATGTTTCATTAGAAAAGATATTCATAAAAGATTCCGAAATGGTTTTTTTTTATTAGTGTTGGGTTTGTGCTACAAGATCTCATCTGCCGAAAATTGGGACTATTACTTTATTGTAAGATTACCAACCGAGATTATCAACTTAGAAAATAAAACCTGAAATCGTATATAAAACTTTGTTTGAGAAATAATCTTGAATCCTGACGCTCATACCTACTACAACTCCAAACAAAAAGACCCTAAAACAAACACACACAGACACTTTGACTCTTCACTTCCCGTTTCCCTTCTTGGAGTCCAGAGGATTAAGCTCATCCCAAGCTTCAATCCATGTAACCATGGCATCTGCAAGCTTGACAAAGTAAGGATCTATTTTCCCGAGCTTATCCTTAACATGTTTAGACAACTCCACATAACATTGCTGAACCGTTGTACACTCTTTTGGGAGACTGGTGGCTTGAAAGAATGGGATTATCTCTTCTTGCCAAAAGATACCCTTGTACTCTTTCTTCAAGTTCACAAATGGGTTGCTAGCTTTACTATGCCATATGTATGGCAACCCCGTCTTGATCCCAAGCCCCAAATGATCACAAATCACCTGTATCACTAACTCGAGGGTTAAAATAGTCTTTTTGCAGTTTCTCAAACAATAGTGACAAAAGGGTAAGTTAACAAGTAAGAAATAAGAACCTTGACACACCAACCAGCCCACATGTCATCGTAGCGACCAATGGGCTGACCATCACCCATGAGCCCAAAGTACATGGCTGGGCCTATGAGTTGACGATCAAACGCCAGGTTCATTCCACACATAGGGAATAGTGTTCCCTTTGGGATTGTCATAACTGCATCAACATACCTGATCAGAATCAACCCAAATGTTATATATTATTATCCATGCAAGAAACTAGCGAAAACAAGATAGAAAGTATTTTATTTTTACTACGTACGTACCTATTGTTTCTCTCGCGAGGCTTGACAAGCTGTGTTGGGGCATCGTAATCAGGAATGTTGAGCCACAGGCCATGAGACACGGCGGTGGGGACGCCCTCACGGAGGCTGAAAGGGTAGCCACGGACGAAATCAGCACCTTCGGAGAAAGGGTCATAAAGGGTGTTGAAGAAATAGGGTGTCGATGGGTGAAGGAGGTTCCTAATGTGTTGTGAAAGTGCATCTATATCTTTCCCACTTGGATCTTTAGCAACCTAAATAACAAGATCAAGATTTTCGTTGCCCGTTTGGAAAAAAAAATCATCAAAAAGTTAAAGATTACGAAATGGAAGATTGAAACTCACGAAGCAGTCGTCATCAATGGTGAAGATATACTTCTTCTTGGAAACCATGTAGCCAAAGCATCGACAAGCAGAGTCTTTGAAGGAGATGCAAGAAGCCTTGGGACCCAAAATCTTGTTAATGTCGTTACGATTGAAGAGTTCGTAATCGAAGCCATTGGGGACCTTGATGGCTCTGGAAGGATCACCATCTTGAACGATGATCAAATGGTAAGGTTCAAAGAAGGGCCTCCACATTTCAAGAAAATCGAGGCTTCTGATTGTGGGTATGACGATATCGAGCTCATCTTTGAGAGGTGGATTGGAGTTGGAGGTCGCCATGAGAAAAACAGAGGAAAAGAAGAGCAAAGTGTTTTGAGAGTTATTAAGGGGGATTGGGGGATGTGAGATAACGACGGGGGCGGAGAATGTAACGGATGTTATTGTTTTGACCACGTTATTATTCCTTCAATTAATTGCACAATTCTATTTTTCAGAATATATAAACTGGATTACTGTCCTATGGCTATCTTTCACATGAATAATTACCTTATATCTTTTATCTATAACGTATTTTTTAGTATATGATGAAACTGTAAAAAAAGAATATCCTAGCTTATAAACTTAACTTATATATGTTAGTATTTTTTAAAAAAAATTTGAGATGGTTTTTTTGATAAACTAGTTTATAAAATTATCTATTTCTAAAGTTTTCTACTACAATATTTGATTTTTTTTTTGGGTTAATGACCTAGAAAGGTAACAAACTTTTGTCTTTGTCCACATTTAGGTAACCATGTTTTTATCATTCACATTTGACCATTGAACTTGTTTGATCTGTTCAAAATAGGGTAATATTACTAATAATTTCGGTAATATTACCCTATTATGAACAGGTCAAACAAGTTTATTGGTCAAATGTGCACAAAAAAAACATGGTTACCTAAATACGGACAAAAACCAAAGTTTCTTACCCGTTTTGGTAATACTGGACAAGAACCGTCTTAGGGACTGTGTGGCCTCGGATCAGGCTCCGACAGTCAATGAACAATTAGGTTAGGCTTGGTCTAACCCAGTTTAGTCCCGGCTAGTCATGGGCTAAGCTGTGTTGCTCGGTCTTTAAAACACATACAACCTAACCCTTTAAGCATATACAACCTAACCCCTAACTAGCTGAACCTAAACTGGATTGACCCAAGACTTAAGCATCTCCTCATACACAAGATCAGACGACCCAGTTTCATTTCACATCAATGGATCTTATGACTACTTGCACTTAACATAAAGAACTCAATATAGCAAAATAGGTAAGTGACTTTGGTGTTTGTCCATATTTAGGTAATCATGTTTTTTCGTACACATTTTACTTGTAAACTTGTTTGCCCTGTTCATAATAGGGTAATGTTACCGCTAATTACCGGTCATATTACCCCATTTTGAACACGTCAAACAAGTTCAATGGTCAAATGTGAACGAAAAAAACATGGTTACCTAAATGTAGACAAAGACCAAAGTTCGTTACCTTTCTAGGCCATTACCCATTTTTTTGGTAATATAGCTTATACAAAAGCATTTTCCATGGTAATTATTTCTAAAACTTTTTGCTATTTAAAATAAAACCTTTTACTATTGAAGATAAGAGTTTTTTTTAAAGGTTTCTGCAATCACTTAATAAATTTATTTACTTAACAACTTTTTTAGAAGCACAATGGCCTAACAGGACCGACACCCTAAAAGCCAAATATATAGCCCAAACCCGAGAAGGTCAAACTGAAAGTCAATCTACTAAGAACACGGGGTGTACTCAACTCGTACGCTTAACATACTCCCCATATTACCAACCCAAATCAAAAGCAACCCAACTCAAAAGCACTTAATCTATTAATCCAAAAATCCAAAATTCAAGATCTGGTCCTAAATGGTGACTTAACACGTAAAGTTGACAACTTTACACCCATGCATGACTTAATAAGGCCCAAAACTCAAAAAGAAGCTTGATAAGAATCTTAACACTTGCATGGACCAATATCTTACATAAAGTTTGTATTTTTATGAACATAGGACCTCAATGGAGCTAAGATCTAACATCCATAGCTTCTAGAGTAGATTAAAAGCTCAACTTAGTTCAAAATACCTAAAAATGCATAAATAACACCCTAAGTTGGATCTAGCATAAAGAATCATCAAAATGGGGGCTTTTTACTTCAAATGACTTGCTAAGATGAAGATGATCCTAGATCTACAAGCACAAGCTACTCCTAAGAAACCACCAAGTCTTCTTCTTCTTCTACACTAAAAACACCACCAAATCTCACTTTCAAGGTCAAAACTCACAAAAAGCACTTAGGGATTCGTTTTTAGGGTAGAGAGTGATAGAGGATGATCAATAGAATGTCTAAAGGTGGTATAAGTTGCTTAAATAGGGCACAAACCCTAAACATTAGGGTTTGTCCCTGCCTTACGTACGCCATGCGTACTCCACGTACATGGGTGAATCTCGCGTCCAGAAATGAGATAGTACGCTAAGCGTACTCATAGACTACGCATCGTATACTAGCTAGGGACCAAAAAGATAAAGATTTTGCATTAAGGGGCTAAAAGGAAAACATACCAAATTACGAATGTTACAAACGTGGATTTCCAAACAGTATACTCTATATACCAAATGGATCCTACCGTCGATACTATCTTACATGGTTATTCCTAATTAGCCAGAACTTAAAATATTCATTGGGATTATTGAGGAACCTAAACTATTACTATTATAGTTTTGAGAAATGTTAAAAAAGGACTAAAACTTAGTGATATTTACATCTAGGTCTTTTGAAAAGAAAAAAGCTAAGGTGTTAGGCTAAGCGCTGACCTAACCATACATCATCCAGTTCTATCAAGTGAGTACATAGTTACTTTCATATTATACATAGATATTTAGTATTTTAAATGATTAAATGTTATGTGCACTATTTATCCATATTTTGAATAAATATGTTAGATACAATAACATAACAGGATTTTGCTTGTTTAATTGGTTGACAGAATAAATGATTAATTTTACCATAATTATTGGGTATAGAAGGAATGTGAAGGAAATAGTAATAACAAGAGGTCATGAACAATATAGTACTATTGTACTGATGAACTAGCCATCTAGCAGAGTATAGATGACGATCACTAACTATGAGCACTAGCAGACTCATTACTTGTAGATGTTAATGAACTATACGTTCATTCGATGTACTCTATCCCCAACATGGTTGCGTTATTGACATATATTGCTAAGGAATCCCTAAATCGATAGTGTCTAATCATTGATTACGGTGATCCTTTGGGACATGTCCCTTGAGATCATCATTTTAGGGTCAGGAAGCGAGAATAATGAGAATGGATAATTGGGTTAATTATTTGATGTTAAATATATTTAAAAGAGTATTTAATTATATTATTGTGGGTTGAAAACCTTATGTGTTGATCAGGCTCCCAAGCCTGACCCACTCAGTTTCTTTGTATCACAAGTAGCGATACGAAGGTACAGGGATAGTGATGTTTAAATCTAATGATAAATTTGAGGAGTTTAAGGCCATTAGTATAATAAACAGTTGTAAGGCCTGTAATAACTGGTTTATGCTTATGTTTTCTGTATCATTGTTGAAATCCGAAGTTTTTAATATTAAAAAATTTATTTAAAATGTTTTGACTCTGATTTATCTTAAAAAAAAATGTTTTGGGACAAATTCCGCAATAATGTATTCTTCAAAAGGATACTCTATTTTGAATAAGCATGAATAAAAAAATTTATTTGGCCGTAAAAACTGGGATGTCACACATAGCTCTCGAAAAACAGTCTCGCTACAATCTCGAATGTCTCTTGATGCATACCACTATAATTACTATAAAAATCATGTCGCTAACATGTAATCTGTGTCACTTTGCATTATGTATAGGCAAAGATAGATAGGAACCAACTGTCACTACAACTAATAAGGCAACAAAGCATCAATTGTCATTATATTTCGGCCCAGACTGATCACCCGAACCAGGCACAAAGATTGCAGGCTGCTAAGCATAATCCTACTAAAGGTTTATAAGGTTCTTAAACTTTACTTTGAGTTTCTTGGATTCTCATCCTAACTCCATTATAGCAACAAGCTCTGCCAACAAGGTTCAAGGTTCATAATCTTTCCTTTAGTTTCTTGGTTTCCTAGCCCAACTCTATTATAGCGGCAAGCTTATCCAACAAGGTTTAGAAGGTTCATGACCTTTGCCTTGAGTTTCTTGGCTTCCTAACCCAAATTCATTTTAACGTAGAGCTCTTCCAACAAGGTTAATAAACTTTTGACTTAAGTTGCTTAGCTTCTCTATCCAACTCCGTTATAGCGGAAAGCTCTGCCAAAAGGGATCAAAAGGAATATAACCTTATCCTTGAATTGTGTACTTCTATTCCTAATTCCTTCACGATCGTTGGCTGGTAAGCTCGATCCATGTTGATGAATTGTTTCACTAATTGTATTTAAGTGTAATGGATTGACTTCTTGACCAAAATCAATATTGATGAATATTAAACAAGTAAGGAAGGTGCGGAGTGTACATTTGTTAAAGTTTATTCAAGATTCAAAGTAGAGTATCATTTAGAGTGAAGCCCCTGAATGAATGGGAGTCCAGGGGGCAACACCCCTGGGAGTGGGGTCCAAGGGGCGGTAGCACAATTTTTTTTATTTGTGTTATATTGCTTTATAAAAATACATCATAAATATGTTTTTCTGAAAAATAACTTGGGTTTTGACCCTTCTTGTAGAACCCGAATTTATGATAGTTTTGTTGGTTGCTAAAACTGTTTTAGGACAATTTTGGTAGTTTTCAGACAAAAAACTACTTGGTGGCAGTTTTTGGACATGGATGGTTAATAACCATTTTGGTCAGAATTTTGGGAGTACCACCCAAATACTTTGATTTGAAAGTGATAATCACGATTCTAAGAATTTCAAGTGCTATTTCTTACCCATATTTGTAGTAATCCATTCCATGTGATGATTTCCTGCATGATGATTTCTTGACCTCATGCCGCTAAACCCGATCCATTCCATGCGATGATTTCCTACATGATGCTTTCTTGATCGCTGGCTGATAAGCCCAATCTGTTCCATGTGATGAGCTCCCGCATGATGCTTTCTCAATCGCTGACTACCAAGCCTGATAGGTTCCATACGGTGCTCTCTCATATGATGTTTTCCCGATTGTTGGCTGTTAAGCTCGATCCGTTCCACGCGATGCTCTCTCGCGGAATGTTTTCCTGATCGCTGGTTGTTAAGCCCGATCAATTCCATGAGCTGTTCTACCACGTGGCGTTTTCACGATTACTAGCTACTAAACCCAATCCTAAGTCACACGATATAAGTCGTGCATTGTAGTGTATCGTAAGTTACGCATTATAATCCTATGTTATGCTTAGAACCACACATTTGGTGTTTCTTCTATTATAATCAACATGCTTTTCCTATGATCAGACAATCAATAAGGCATTTCCCACATTATATCTTACTATAACAAGGTTACTTTTCAACAAAGAACATTATCACAACAACAACCGTACTACCTATGATCTCTACAACATCCTTGTTGCATGGATCTTGACAATAGTCTTGCTGTGTAATCCTAGCCAAGAGCCTCACCCCATCCCGCAACATCTTTGTTGTCCAGCTCTCGGTAACAATCTTGATAGGTAATCCCCACCAAAAACCTCACCACTCATCCCTTAGTATCTCTTTTCCCTGGCTATCGGCAATAGTCTTGCTATGTAATCCCCGCCAACAACCTAACCAAGCAACTCTTGGAATCTTTACTACCTGTTATCAGGACAAAAATTTAATTGCTCATTATCTTGATAATACATTATTTGGACAATAGTCTTGCTACTTACCCCCAAGACCATAGTCTTGCTGCTTGTAATCATGCTAACCTTTTTGTTGTACATTTTTATAATAACCCTGCCATATTCATCGTAGTCTGATACAGCTACCTAAACTACCGATATCAAACTAAGGGAAATCAGCTAGGTATAGCCCATACAAAAAACACCTTCAAGATGGTTATCAATGCTCATGCAAAACAGACTATGTGGATGCTCATTAGTGACATTCCACCAAGACATGAAAGAAACATTATGTTATCTACGCTGCATATTCATATATCAACCTTGATCTAGATGTCATCATTATCAACAACATTTATCTGTATAATATTATCAACATCCTTGCTCGGCATCACATTATCAACAACAAGTACGATGCATCATATCAACCATATCACATTCCTCTAATGTAAGAAAGGATTAGTAATCCAACTCATGTTGCATAAATCCATGCCAACGTCACTACTGGAAAATTGGCTATAGAGTACACCCCCATCTAATACGGTTGTAAAAAAACTCGTATTATAAAGGGATAAATAAATATAATACACACAATTGCAGCATCTAATACGGTTAATTGCAGCATCTAATACGGTTAATGAGATGTACTAGAAACAAAATCAAATAACTAAAAATACGCCCCCATTTTAATTAAGTACGGCTAAGACCTAAATTGAATACGGCTAATACCTAAATTGAATACGCCTCCTCCTCCTCACATACTTAGCTTCCTCCTCCCACACTAATCGGTTCTTCATCTCCATCTCCCCTGTCGCAACACCATCATCATCCGCCAGCCTCGCCTCGCCCGACACCTCCAATAATTCAACCAACCTGAAAATCCCACCACCGGACCTGCGGTTCAAATTTAAAGGGTAAGAGCTTTGATTTCTGTTTTTGCAATAGACAAACACAGGTAGCAGTTCAAATTTAAAGGTAGGAGATTTGATTTCTGTTTTTGCAATAGAAAAACAAGAGCATAAATACAAATACAAAGGAACTACAACTGTTCACGAAGGACACGGAAGCGTTTTGGCTTTGATGGAGATGCAAAGTTTTCCTAGAGTGATGCCACTAATGGATTCATTAAAAATGTCTTGAGTAGAGTGTTGATCAAATGGCCAAAATGCCCTTTCATTCATGGTTTGGTTTGCTCACTTTCTTTCTGGTACATCAAAGAAGGATTAGAGAATTAAAAAGGACAATATGGTCATTTTGGCATATCTTCCTCTGAGGATTCCTGATCAGCAGTCTCAAAAAATTCTTATAGTAATTGTTGATAGAATTTTGAGTCATGGAGTAGTTAAGCATCACAAACTGTTGGGATAATAATTCTTTTCTCAAACAGTAATTGGCATTGCAGTTGTTAAATAGATGTGTTAATTGCTTTGCTTATTATATGTGTTGTGTTATTTGCTTCTGTTAGATGTTGTTATCTATACATAAAGAAACAACAAGCAAGGGCTATAGAAATTTCAACATACTCCTCTTCGGTCTTCATTTTGATATTGGGCTCTGTCAAAGTCGGTCAAAAAGTCAACAAATGGAAAGTCGGATTTTTTTTTAATATTTTATTTATGATTGGTGACTTAAATAATTAAACAATTGAATGTCTAAAGTATAAAAAGCTTATATTGTAAATGTAAAAAGTTGAAAATCAAATTACTAGAAAATTAAAATTAACACTGCTGAGTGGAATCCATTTGCATTGTAACACAAAATGACTGATTATTCACAAAACCATTATTCACAAAGGAATGGAATTGATAGGCGAATGGAATGACTGATTCCATTCCTATCATAGAAAAGAAAAGAGAGGTACATAACAAAAGAGAGGTACATAACAAAAGCATATAGAGATGTGCATCAAAAAAGTGTCCATGTTTGTAATTTTGTATGATGATATAAAAGTACAATTTTACCCTTGGGGTAATATATTTTAATTTGACCATTTTGCCCCTTTATAGGCCATGAAAGCACGAATGGGTGATCCTGGACAGAGCTTAGGAATGACCCAAGGTTTGGGCAACCAGTTCAAGTAATAATCGAATTCCCATTTTGCCCTCATCCTTCAGAAAGCTGCAGTTTTGTAGACTAACTATGCCAAAAGGTCAATATTACCCCTCAATTTCTAATAATAATTTATTGATTCAACCACTTGACTATTTTCTGTATTTTTATCCTTTTTTGTATTTTCATCCTAATTTTTATTTTTTATGATTTGTTTCATGTAAGAAGAATTGTGGGGTAACACAAATGACTTTTTTTATTTTTATTTTTTATTATTTTAGGTTTGTTATTGGTTTTAAGATAAAAAAAAAAACAGTTTGTTGAATGAAGAAAAGAAATCACAGGGACTGTTAGAAAAAAAAACACTAAAATTTCGTATTTAATCTTATCCACGTCATGTTACTATACTAATGCTTTGATATATTCCATGTCGAGTACAAGGGAAGAAAATACCATGAGGCAATTAAATTCAATAGGAGATTGTTATGAGTAAAAATACTTGAAATAAAAAATTAAATAACAAAGTTGTTCATTACGTTTATTTTAAAACTTAGACGGATGTTCGCAGGTACGTAAGAAATAGAGATTTTGACTTTCTTCCACGACGAATAAAATTCTCCAGCTCTATTACTTTGAGTTGTTTATACGAAACCTTAGCCTTCGGCCAACGACGCCTCCGCCTCTGGCCAACGACGCCTCGGCCTCCGGTCTCCGGTCGACGAGACAGACGAAGTCTCCTACTCCGGCCTACAGCCGCTTCTTCCTCCTTCTTTCACGTTGTTTACAGGTACACTCGGACTTTGGGTGTAGTCGATTTATTCGTTGATTAATGTTGTGTTTATGACAATGTCTTCTCTGTGTACGACATATTACTCATATTTCTGGTTGATAACCCTAGAAAAAAATTTTCTTCTCCAACTTCCTTCCCGATTTCAACATTAGCCCCATCTAATGTTCCTATAATCAAGCATCCATTGAGTGCAAATTTCATATTACTTGTCCCATTAGCTTCCATTCCAGCTGTACTTATATGCTGTGACACCTCACTTCCTGGTATAAGAGGAGCTGTATACACCAGTAGTGCTATAGTTATTCTGTAAATCCCATTATGCTAAGTTGTTGGATATAAATATAAAACTACTTCATCTGTTATTAATGATTCAGTTCTTGGTTGCCAAACTTTCTAATTCTATTCCAATCAAGTTAGTTGATCAGCTGTTAACTGATTTCAAGGTTACCACAATTTTGCCACTTATGTGACACAGAATCACTATTTGCTGTGAAATTAGCTTTTTGTATGAAGGTTTGAAATTGAATAAGGAAATTTGAAATTGTTCAAGGTTGAACTTAAGCTACATTTTGCAAAGGATATAGTTGATTGCTGAAATTATTCTACTTGCAACATTTTCTTTATAAATCTACATAATTATTGTAAATATAAACACATTAGAATATTAGATACCCCTTCAAAAGAGTGTACTATGCATGCAATGACAAGAGTGTAATATTTGATTTAGTCCAAGCCAGGGTGTGTGTAAAAACTTGTAAAAGGATATGACAGTTTTAATGCACTCTCAAACAGATGTCAATGCATATGAACAAGTTACAAGGAATGAAAGAAAATGAAAGGGAATTAGAAGTTTGGCAGCATCCTATTTTGTTCATTCTCTCTAACCTCTTTGGTGGAAAACCATCCATAGCATCACAAAACTTCAAACCTTCTTCAAGTTCTCCTAGATTAAGTCCAAAAGGTAGGTGGTTTTGCTTCCATACTTTTATCTCTTTAATCTACAAGGTTTGAAATCACCATTCATGGTGAAAATCAACACACCTCCAAAAACCTTAGTTTCTTATTTGAAATTTTTTGGTTACGGTTAAAGATCAAGCTTGGGGAAGAGCAGGTTGTGAGATAATCTAATTGCACTTAAACTAGTTACTTGTACCTCCTGCAGACGCACAAGTAGTTACTAAATACCTATTTTCTGCAGATGGAATTAATGTGTTTTACTTGTCTGTTTTTAACCATTTTGTTATGATCTGATTAACTTCAGGACTACAAAATCTGAGCCAACGTCTAGGAGTAATGCCCAAATTTCTTGTTTGGTCATATTATAACATAATCTACAAATAACTCTACCTTTAAGATGTCACTGTGCAATTTTGCTACACCATTAACCTGTCAAAATAGATAAAAACAAATGGGCTGAATTGATGGGAGCCTAAACCTCACACAAATATTATATAAAATTAGTTGTCTTTCCTACATTTATAGCATTCAAACATCTTACCGTATGCCCAAAAACCTCTAACAAATTTGCCATGCAGACAACTGCCTTTATTTGACCATTCTTGCAGTACCCATCTGATAAGCCCCAAGTAATCCTAGAGTGCTTCTAGTTGATCTGCTTTATTATAGTTATTTTGGTCTAGGGGTAGTTTGGTCTTTTATTTAGTTATTTTGCAGGTTAGAGTTAGTGGTGATTCAAAGTAGTGGGGATATCACCTCGCTAAGATGTTATTCCTTTTTGTCCTTTTCTTTAGTAGTAGTATATATAGTAGTTAGGAGTATGAGTGAGGTAGCTAAGAATTAATTTGTAAGAGAAAATTGTTCTTTTTTTGGAGAGACTCTCACCTCTAGAATTGTGAGAAAACTATCTTTATGAATATTATCAAGAATTTCTGTTAGTAAGAGTGTTAAAATGCCTGGGGTCTACGATAGATTCAACAAGCATCTATCACCATCAATAGGGGTTGAATATAAATTGCATCATATTTGTTTTTTTCCATCAAATGTAATTCTTTTTTGCTGTATTTGATTATAAATTGCATCATATTTCTTTTGAGAGTGCCAATGGTAGCTATGTTGGTCCTTAAAACCTTTCTCTTACAGTTTTGGTCCTTATTTTTATGTTATATAACCATCAAGGTCTCTATCACATTTTTTTGGTATGATTTTTTTTATGTTTTGATCTACTATAAAAAACGTGTCATAATCTTCTCATTAGTTGGATTAAGTCATAATCTTTAACATATCTTTACCCTCATCATTTTCTATCATCATTTTTATGCTCATTTTCTTATAACCAGGTCTGAGGTTATACATCGGAAATTTTCCATTACATATGGATGAGGTACTAGTGAAAACAACCAAGAGCAGGAGGATCCGTATGGTAGAAAGAAAAACCAGAAAAAGAAGTGTTGGTATACCCAAAACGAAACATCTTGAAGCCAGGTATAAACTTACCTTGGGTATCTTCAATTTTATATAAAATTTTGGTTTTTTTTGGTGTTCGAGACTCTTAGAATTAATTATACGAGTGTTTATGCTTTTGTAGGAATACAATGGAACGTCCAGAAAAGAAAAAGAGAAGTGTGACATTGATCAGAGATCACTTCAAAGAATATCTATCAAATTTAATAGTTGAGTTCGATCACTTTGGTAGAGCTATTGGACCTAACCGCTTTAAGTTCACCAGTTATCGTGGAGTGACTACGAGGAAGATGATTTCTATCCTGATAGATAGTTGGGATTTAGTGGATCAATGTGACAAAGATCAATTGTGGTTAAACATAAATGTAAAACTCAATTCAGCACACTTTTGATATCATTTAATACTAGCAATCACAATTTCCTGCCATGTTATTCTCTTCTATCATACAACTTGTATCATATCATATACCTAAAAGTTGTGATCTTCATTTTTTATTTAAAAAAGCAGAATCATTGGCATATACGAGATGATGATCATAAAGCACAAGTGCTTAGAGATTGCAACACGCATTGGAAGGCCTACAAGTCGGAGCTTCTTAAGTTGTGGGACAATGGTGTCAATCCAGTAAAAAATACCCGTACCTTGACAAAGGAATGTGGAAAAATTTCCTTGTTCTAAAATCCACGGAAGAATTTGAGGTATGTTTGAGTTTATTCTTATTTATAATATTATTATGTTTTACTATTTCTAATTGTTAGATATTTTTTTTTTCATTTTTGTTTATTGTAATAAAGGCTCACCTTTGTTAAATAACAAATTTTTTATCTTAATTTGTTTGTAGAACATTTGGAAGGACAAAAAACCATTTTCTAGTGAGGAATTGGAGGAACGTCTTAAAACATGGATGATAAATTTTGGTGATAAAGTGAAGCCTTTTTGTAAGGTACACAAATTGTATTTCATGTTGTATTTGCTCATATTTTTTATGTTCTGTAGAAGTTTTCACCCTTGCATTGCTATAGATGAAGTTGTTAATGGCAGGAAGGTCCTATAATTTGAGTTTTCTTTGTTAAAAGTTATTTGAGATTTTGAATCCTAAGTTTTCTTGTTAATTTTTGTAGGCATACAATGAATCAACCACAAAGGGGAAAGAGAGGTTAGAGGTGACAAAGGGGAAAGAGAGGTTAGAGATGTGACATTAACAAATTTTTTTCTGTTTAATGAATTAAGTTCATTGTAATTTTTTTTTTTCTATTTTTGAAAATGAAAACATGATCAGTGATGTCCCACTTCTTATGGCTGGAATGGAATCATTTAGTAGGTTTGTATTTTGTAGAGATTGATCCTTCGGTTACAATTCACATGGTAATCATATAGTAGCTTTGCAGAAATTGAAAAGTTTGTTTCAGTTGGAATGGTGATCCATGTGTTCCACAACATCCATGGACTGGAATTGGCTGTTTAATAAGGCTGGAGTGGAATTGGAGTGGAATTGTCTGTTTAATAAGGCTCTGGAATGCAAAGGGATGTGAGACATCAAGTACGGTTGTTTATTGGTGTATTAAATGTGTTTATTGGTGTATTAGATGTATATATGGCGTATTAGATGACACTTGAGACATCAAATACAGTTGTGTATTGGTGTATTAGATGTGCATATATGGCGTATTAGATGATTGTATGCGATGCTTGTACAAAGTAGATAGGATAATATAATACGGTCAAATAGCCGTACTTTATTATGCAAGTAATCTAATACACCCCTCTACTAATACGCCCTCTATGTACGTACTATATTTACAATTTCAACAGTACTCTATTAACCTTTTTCTATTAGTGCGTCATCATGAAATACCATGGATCCCATGGGCGGCGTTCAATCGTTCTTTTTATACTTAATTCGATGCATAGTTTCCATTTCTAGTATGATCCTATTGACAACAAACCAATCACATCGAACTAAGGGACTTGATGCACGAGTTTCATGACAATGTTTAGTACAATATAATTGTTCGCATATCAATCACATTAGCATGGTGGGAATCGATAATGTTAGGTCTATTAGCAGACCTATACAACTCTGGCGCACCATCCTTGCCTGGCGCTCGCCTGCCAGCCTTGCCCGGCGCTTGTCTGCCAACCTTACTTGGTTCGCGTCTGCCATCCTGCATGACACTCACCTTCCAGCCTTGCCTGATGCTAGCCTGCCAACCTTTCCTGGTCCGTTTCTACCAGTCTCACTTGGTGCTCGCCTGCCATCCTTTCCTGGCGCCCACCTGATGCCGCCTCCTGGAGACCTTGTCTAGATGGGTTTGAATTGAGCTGGACCAAGGCCTAACATAATTCTACCTTGATCTAATTATCCCCTATAAATAGAACATTACCTCCTCCATAGAGGAGGACTCTCATCCCATGGTTTAAGACCCTAAGGGATCAACCTCCATCATGCCTATACACTACCCCCTTACACCAAGATGGTTATCTCTGGCTAGGAAGAACGATCTCATCTCTACAAACCGATCTAAGTTGATCGCCAGAGCCTACTCCTAGGGTATAGTCCCTGGGGTGGTTCTAACAAATTTGCACAATGATCTAAGATACTCGTTGTAGCATCAATCCAAAAGACCTCCCAGATATTTGAGTCACATTAAATCCTATTAAACTTTTATTGTATGACTTATTATGTAAATACAATAAAAATAATTGCGTAATTTAAGTTTTACCTAAACTAGAAACATACTTACATTTTTTATACATATAGCGACATACTTTAATATTACTTATAAATGTAGGTATGATGCTTACGAGAACATACACCAAGTTGTTGCATGCACCAGGGTGGCTACACCATGCTTTCACTTTTTAGATAATTCAAAGATCGTGTTTTATGTATAATTTTATATACTTTTCAAAATATGTGATTTCGAACCTATTGCATGGAGTATCATGAAATCTAATTTAGGATTTTTCAAGAACAATCAATTTTGAATTCAAGCTTCTTCCAAATTTGAAACATAGAATATACTTGATGATTTGATTTTTACAGAGACAAAAGGTTGTAGAGAGGAACAATTTTTAGTTATATGAAAGTTGCAACATTTTCATGAAATGTCCATCTTCCTTTATACATGGAATATGCGGTTATGGGTGGTTATGAAGGGAAAACCTCTACCAGGGGCTCAGCCCCTTAGATCCCGCTAGGAGTATTACCCCTTGAAACTTTAACCCTAGGGGCGCTGCTACCGGACTCCCGTTTTAATTCTCGAGTCGACATTGATCACTCCGAGTGTGCACCCCCACCTCCATTATTGGATAGTAAACTACACTTAGTCTATCACTATAGTAATACTAACTATACTAAAATATGTTTATAACACCAAAATCACCAACAATAAGGGGAGATAATTGACATGGGTTTTCTTTTTCTTATAGGTGTTTAACGGGAGATTCACAAGCTTTTGGTGGTGAGCGTTGGTCTCTAATTGAAATAGTGGACCTATTGATGATATAAATCTATTAATAGATGTGGGGTGGTGTTGGAAATTATTTTGGATGGCTCTTTTCTGTGGATTCAGTTTTTGACGAGTTTGCCCCTAGGCTTTATATATATATATATATATATATATATATATATATATATATATATATATATATATATATATATATATATATATGCATCTTCTGAGTTCATTTCGAGGCTTCTTTAAAGAATATTGATATTTTTAGGGAAATGTTTTAAAGAATTAGATTGCTCTTGAAGTACATCTTACAGAAAGTACATTAATATTGTAGGGTTGATCTTGAAAATACGTTGATATTTTTGGGTTGCTCATGAAAGTATATTATTATATGCCTACATTAAAAGTTCAAAGTACATTGATACTTTTGGGATCGATCTTGAAAGCACATGGATATTGCTAGGCTGCTCCTGAAAGTACATTGATATTGTTGGCTTACTCATGAAAGTATATTGTTATGTTAAAAGTACATGTGTTGTGGTGGTTTCGCTTATAGTTACCCCACATGTTAAGACCTTTTAAATGTCTTGACCTGTGGTGTTGTATTTGGGGTAGTTAACATTTTGTTTTTATTATTTGTACTACACAAAACTACAAAAATGGTCCTTGTGGTATGTATTTTTTTCGGGTTTTAGTCCAAACCTCAACTTTTTTGGATTGGTTGTCGCTTTGACCATGTTTTCTTGTGATTTTGGTCCCTCGCAAAACTCAAAAGACAAAAATGCCCTTCTAATTAACTTTTTGTGTTTTTTATATTTAATTTAAAGTTTTATTAATTAATAACATTAAGGGTCCACCTCTCTCTCTCTCACACATTGTTTCCTGTGCAAACCCACCAGCGATCCAAAACTTGCTCATAATCCATTTCAAGGTGGGTTTTTAAAAAAAAAAACTTGTACGTCTATTGAGAGATGAGAGGGAGGGGTGAGTGGTGATTTTTTTTGTGTTTCTTATCTGTTACGATGTCAGATTTGCAAGTGTATGTGAAAATTCATGTGACCAACCTGGAGCTTGAGCTTGAACATATTCGAGATTAATAGATTCGAGATGGGTTTTCAGGTCCATAGACAGAGAGGGTGAGTCTTCAGATTGACGGATTTGAAGTGATAGAAAAAATTTAGGTGCAAATGGAGGTGGTAGAGGGTGGTGGTGACAGTGGTCTATTCTTGAGTTCATGAAGATGTTCTGGGGTGATTATCAAAGACAAACACACACACACACTCACACAGAAAGAGAGCGAAGGGGTGAGCCTCATCTTATTTTTTTAATTATTAAAGTAAATAAATAACTATTATATTTTATAAAATGAAAGAAAAATAGAAAATAAACACATCAAGGGTATTATAGTCATTTCAATATTCGGATGGACCAAATACACAACGAAACTAATTTAAAATGACCATCAATCCAAAAAGATCGGTGTTTTGACAAAATCCGAAAAAAAATACATGCCACATGAACCATTTTTTGTAGTTTTGTCTTTGTACTATTTTCCAGCTTCTAGATGGTCTTTATATAATAATAATAATAATAATAATAATAATAATAATAATAATAATACTTTATTTTCAAAAAAATTCTTTAAAATGATTTAAAAAAGTAATTTGTAACATATAAGATGACATGAACATGTATGAGCTTTATAATAAAACAAATTTCGAAAATAAGTCTTTGATTACTTTATTTGAGAAAGTAAAACGAAATCCAAGAAGCTAATATACCGTATACACCTACTGTTTATGGAATTCAATGGATTGTTGACCGTTAAAATCAAATTTATATGCATAATCTTATCAGAATTAATCAAATTATGTGCAAAGTTAAGTATTATATTTTAGAGACTACAATTATACATTTTTGTATGTGCAATTTCAAGAATTCCAACATTTTGCTATAGAAATTAAGTATGCTTGTTCCAAGAAAAATGACAACGAATTTGTCATGTTGAAGAAGTCAAGATAGATAGTTTTCACCAAACGAATAACAAACATATTTTAAAGGTTAATTGACCATGGACTTTATTTGTGAGAGAAAGGCCACTCTATTCTCTCCTATCTTATACACACTCGCTCAATAAAACGGGCTTGAAGTGTAAACACAGAGGCATCAAGTAAATCTTGGAAATCAGTAATGGATTACTGCTTCAGGTCTCTCACCAGAGTATCAATTTCCACCATTGTTCTCGCCATCTTGCTTTCTTCATTCAGTTTCACTTGCACATGTATGAATCTTCTTTACATTCAAGTTCTTGAAGTTTCACTTATGGGAGGGTGTATTGGTACTCCTTTTTGTCCCACATCGCTCACAAGAAGCGGAGTGTGGGAGATTTCACTGAATAATGACAAGTTTCTCCAAGCAAGGGCTGTCTTACTCAAGATTTAGATAAGCTTTCATGAGCCTTACTTTTTCTTGTTAATTTTCAGAATCCTATGATGCACATGCACTCAACCCGAATGGAAACATCACAATCAAGTGGGATATTAATAGTTGGACCCCTGATGGCTATGTTGTAAGCATCAAAAACAACTTCTTTCACACTTTTAAAGTTCATAATTACCAATAATATACTTACATTCAAGGTCTTTGATTTATGCAGGCTGTTGTGACAATGTATAACTTCCAGCAATATCGTAACATTTCATCACCAGGGTGGACATTAGGTTGGACATGGGCTAAAAAGGAGGTGATATGGAGCATGTTGGGCAGTCAAACCACCGAGCAAGGAGACTGTTCAAGATATAAAGGTGCAATACCACATTGTTGCATGAAAACTCCAACTGTCATTGATTTATTACCAGGAACCCCTTACAATCAACAAATTGCAAATTGCTGCAAGGGAGGTGTCATTAGCTCGTGGGCCCAAGATCCTAACAATTATGCCAGTTCATTCCAGGTCAGCATCGGTGTAGCCGGAACCACTAATAGAACAGTCAAACTACCCAAGAACTTTACCTTGCTTGCACCTGGCCCGGGCTATACGTGTGGACCCGCTGTAGTTGGTAAACCAACAAAGTTTATTACTCCAGATGGAAGAAGAGTAACCCAAACTATGAGTAAGTATACTGTTTCTTTTTCATTTGATAGACTTACTGCGTTAAGCACTTAAAATGGACAACTACATATGTTTTTGACTTAATCTAGATATAACGACTTAATAGATTAAAACATTAATGGCTTAGGGGCTGTTTGATAGCTGCTTATCGAGTTATATTTGAGTTAGAAACAATCCTAATACGACCGAGTAAGAGATATATCAGGGAAGTAATGACCGAATTAGAGGCTTATAAATGTGATATCAACAGTTTGACCGAGTCTGCCTTTTACCTTTTACCAAATCCGATAAAAGGCATATCAATCATTCCCTTAATGTGTTAAGATACTAAGTACTAACCCTTACCTATTCGTCCCTTTTTTCTCCATAACCTGTAAAAAAAGTGATGAATATTGTTATAAAATTGTAATTGATTAATATTGTGAAATAAGAAATAGATTATAAGATGAAATGGTTTTATAATGTCATTTTATACGGTTTACTCAATCTAAAAAAGATATAGACCGTATTATACAACACTTTATCAACCTATTCTACCAGTTTACCCATATATGAGTTAATGGAGAAAAAATAAACCCATAAGATCAAACTCCTAGATCGCTAACTAGTTATGTTCGGTGCGCATAAGATAATCCATGATAGGACATTTTTACAAGTTTTTTAAGCCAAAAAGTAATTAAAATTTGAGAAAGCTATTGGATGAGCTTTTTTAAATTCACACTTTTTCAAAGAGATTGTTAATTAACAAGCACCGACCAATAGCTTTTTCAATGAGTGTAGTGGTCCTATTATTTTTCAACCGGATATAATTAAACAACATATATAAACAAAAAACGTATTGGAAAAACTTTTATACTGTGGGAGATATAATTAGCTTTTTGGTTTTAAGTTTTTTCATGAAAAAACTATCATGTTGTGGATGCTCTAAGCTAGCTTATTGTTGAAGCTTATTGCAATGTAGTGTTTGGTGATACCACTAAAATAACTCATAAGCTAGCTTTATCAAAAGTATTTGAGACAAATTATAGATAGGCTCATGACGATTTTCGCTCATGTTTTCCAAACATACCCTTCTATACTCATTTTAGGTCAATGTCTTTTTGTCATTTCACATTTGTCATCTAGCTTAGATGCTAATTTCTACCAAATGCCTATACTTTATTGACTAATTTATTAACTACCAATTAACTTATCAGTTATTTTGCCAAACACAACCTATATGGATTTTAGAGTAAATTATCGAAATGGCCCTTGTGTGATTTGGTGGAAATATTTGGTTCAAACCAATTTCTGTGTGTTGCATGGCTCATCCTTATGGGTTTTTTTTTTTTTCAGTTTTGGTCGCTCCAACTAACATTCCGGTAAATCTGTATAAAAGGACAAACTCACTCTTGTTTTGTCTTGTTTTGGCAGTGACATGGAACGTTACATGTACATATTCACAACTATTTTGGGACACCGGCGTTTAAAGACATAACTTTCCGAGTGTTTTGGAGACACTACTATATGAACTAGAAATTGGCATTTAGGCTTTGACTTATGTAATGATGATTGTTGAGACATCAAGCAGTTTCTATTAAACATTATGCGATTTGTCAAATGCTTAAATTTATCTAGGATGTGATGTTGCAAAGTTTTATAAGAAAGATACGGTTTTTAAAAAATAAAAATAATAAACTTTCAAAATTGGGTTGAAATTTAAGGGATATCCAATTATAACAATGAATTTACACTACTATAATTGCATATACATTCGAAAAGTATAATGTTCTACGAAAGCATGTGTAAGTACAATGTTATAATCGAATGGTTTAATTTAAAAAATTAGATGTGAACTTTTGATTTCTTGTTGCATGATTGCAGTTATATTTTGAGAATATAACTTTATATTTGTTTTCAAGGAAAGTTGTCATGCGTCTTCGGAATTTTTTTTCTCTTTTTATTGTTCGATTACAAAGTCCATTTATTATTATTTTTGTTTTTACCTTTCGTTTTTTCAGGGATATTTAAAAATTTATAATATTGGGTGGTAATTGTTGATGGATTTGGAAGATTTTAAGGGTTTTATGAAATTTGCTTTGCTTTGACTTGTGAAACAGAACTATTGTGAATTTTAGATAAATTAAATTAATATTATAACATATTGAAACATCAACATATATTTATAACTTAAATAAGCCATCTAACATGTTTGATTATTGGTATCATCTGTTTGGTGACATTTGGTTGGCTAAATCTTTGAGAACTAAAGGAGTTGGATTCCTAAACGAGGAGAATATTCCATCAAATGAGGGAAAGTCCATTAAATAAAAAAATAGGATGGTGTTAAATTCTTTTTCTTGAAGAAAATTTATGATTACCATATCCTCTCTTTTTTGTTATCATCAACCACTATCACCACCACCCCCACCAACCATATCCACCACCAGCCACCATCATCACCGCCACCTCCACCACCTCAACTTCCACTAGCGCCACCACCTCCGCCCCACCACTACAACTCACGGCCACCACCATCACCTCCCACCATTAATGCCACCATCATTTATTATTTTTATTATTTATATATAAATTATAAAACAAAGCAAAATTACCCAAAAAAAAACAAGGGCAATTCTTTCATTTTACATTATTCTAATAACATTTCCTACAAACCAAACAAAATATAGAATTAGATTCCAATTTATTTCATGCCAACCAAACAAAATATGAAATTAGATTACAATTCCTAACAAATTTTAATTCAACATTATGTAAATCAAATGCCGCTTTAGATTTAACTACCAGGATATTCACCCCAATAATCGTTTTCTTAAATGATATTTTAGGAAATAAACATATTTTCTTTACTTTTTGTAGATAACCATCTATTTCAACAATTGGATTTTCGAACAAATTTTCTATGTTTGAAGTTCTTTTTTCTCTAAAGTATCCCTCGTACGAGTGGTTTTTAAAATTGATTAATAAAACGAAATGTTTCAAATTTAATAATCCAAAAGTTTTAATGTACGAAAAATAGGTCCTAAAAACACCATACAAAGTTAATGTTTCTGAAAGTGCAAGGATGAATCAAGTAATAAACAACATATAGTCAAATTGAACCACACAATTGTCACCTTCAAAATAACATTGCATTCTTCTAGACATCTTATTCTATGATCTTCAATATAAGAATTGTCAAATATAGTTAAGCGATAAAATGCCACCTTCAAAATAACCTTGCATTCTTCTAGACATCTTACTCTATGATCTTCAATATGAGAATTGCCAAAATATAGTTAGGCAATAAAATCTCTAGTGAGAACACTCGTTGACTCATTTTAAGTAAAATATGATGTCAATCATTACACTTGAACCAAAACTCTAAAATCAACAAAATACTAGATATTTAATAATATCAAGATTAAGGTACTATATACCCAAATACAAATACAAAATCAAAGGGTTTTCGTAACCCACAAACCAAATTCAAGGATGTAATAATCTATAAATTCAACTAAAAGGGTTTAATGATCCATACCATAACACCAAAGGGGTTTAATAATCGTCAATCCAAAATCAAGGGTATAACTTAGTCCACAGAAAAGGTTATAAGAACCCAATTATACAAATATAAAGGGTACATGAAAGGCTGTTAAAATCATGATCATGTTCGTAGGATCACGACCCTACGATCTTACCTAGGTAAATCAATCTTGATCATTCTGGATTGTTTTTTGGGTCGGATCGTAGGACCGAATATTAAGATCGTAGGACAGATCGTAAGATCGTAACCATTTGTTTTTTAAACAATTTCTAATATTGTGTCTTAGACTAACTATGTGAATCAAATATGAATCTTATAAGACCCGTTTTGATTTTTTTTTGTTAAATGATGTGTTAGAGATGCATTTTTTACGTTTTAAAATATTTAATGTTAGGATAATGGGTTACTGATCAATGGAAGTGTATTTTTTAATTTTAAAATATTTTTGATAGAATTTTACGATCACAATCTTGCAAATATGAAAATAACCATATGTAGAATCTCGATCTTGAGAACCTTGATATAAACCCATAATCCAAAGTTGAAGGATTTACTAACCTACAATCCAAACACAGAAGGTATAATAACAATAATCTCAAATAAAGGAAATAACGAATGATTCTACAAAAACAACATGCAATGCATATATCTATTCTCTCATATGTCAATTTCAATGGTCCAAACTCCCAAATATAATGATATTTAGATAAACTGGACTCATGAATAATGAAACCCTAAGCTTTTGTCCATTATACAAATCTAGGGATAACGAACCATCATATTGGAAACATAATGGGTAGCTAACCTCATTTGCACATATAAGGGCTTTCTAGACTCTGCTCGTGACCTTCTAGTTGTGTATTCTACAAATAATGGGTCCACATCATGTAACCACTCAAGTCAAACCCAAATCCTAAAGTGTATGTACAAATAAGTTGCTCCAAAAACACTTTTAAAACTAAGGAAAATGACTCTTTAGGGTAATTAACTGTTGCATTTGTTCTCAGTTGGTCCATTTCCTTTTTTTGTACTCAATATATCATCGAACTTGTTGTTTGTGTTCACGATAACCCTTTTGACCGGCTTTTGACGTGTGATAGTCGGTCAAAGGGTTATGGTGAACACAAACAACAAGCTTGATGGTATATTGAGTACAAAAAAAAAAGGAAACGGACCAAATGAGAACAAAATCAACAGTTGGTTACACTCATGAGTCATTTTCCATTTACTCATTTACAGCAAATCTCACGTCATCTCATGTTCATATTAATGACTTTATGAGATTCATTTACTTCTCTTCAAAACATAACCCACGAAAGAACATTATTCATACATGTATAACTTTGTAATGCACTTGAATATTTATTAAGGGAATCTTGACTAAGCAGGTGCATTTCATGACTATATTTACATTTCCAATCAAATGGTTTATCGTATCATGGATTCTAGACAAGTCTACAAACGAATGAATCATAAGTGCTGTGATTTTTTAGTTTACTTAGTTTTAAGATCGAATTCATGGGATAAGATACAACATCAATATGTACTATATCATGCAGCTTTTGCAGAAATATCACCATAATATACTTTGAGGTAAACGTTTATGCTGATAAATATACATCTCATATACAGTCATATCCTTTTGCAGAGAGATGTTGGCAGCTAACCACAGTAGGCATAACATAGACCATGTTTTAACGAAGCTACCCTCCGAAACGCTCTTCGTATACGTTATGGCCAAAGAATGTTGCAGTCTTTGATAATTTTGCAACTTTAATTTCATTTAACTTTTCAGAGAAAATAACTCAGGAGGGTAACCAACTCTTGAGTTTGTTCTCATTTGGTCCACTTTCTTTTTTTGTACCCAATATATCATGAACTTGCTGTTTGTGTTCATAATAACCCTTTGACCGGCTATCACAGATCAAAAACCGGTCAAAAGTATTACGGTGAACACAAACAACAAGTTCGATGGTATGTTGAGTACAAAAAAAAGACCAATCGAGAACGAATGCAACAATTGATTACCCTAAAGAGTCATTTTCCCTTAAAACTATGCATGGATTTTTATATAATAATGTAATTATTTGTTATTTAAAATGTTAATCATCATTATTTGTCATTTAAAATGAAACACTTTTAAGTAAAGTTAATTAGCAATACCAATAGTTAGAAATTACAATAATTTAAAAAATAAATTAACTAAAATGTATATAAAAATAAGTCTTATCCTACCCTGTACCGGAAACAATTGTATTTGATAAACATCGTTCTCGAAATTAAAAAAAATAAACATATGAATAGGTTTTAGTTTGATCAACTATAATAACAATATAAAATTAAAAGTTATATATGATCAACCGTGAATATCTGTCAATATATTATTTTTATTTATTTTGTTAATTATATATTTCTATACTAATAAAAGAATAGTTGTATTCTCTTTTTGTCATGTGTCATTCTAATACTAATTCTAATTCTAATTAATATTATGTTATGTATCATTTTATTATTTTTCAATTTTAAATTTATCCCCAATAAATCAACAATAAGACAAAATTGCAAGAATGGTCCTTGTGGTATGTCAAAACTAGTAATTTTGGTCAAAAATGGGTTTGGCTCACACGGATGGTCCAATAGTTTTGTTTTGTTGCGAGTTTAGTCCAATTTCCTATGAACTTTTTTATAATGACGGATTTGCCCTTTTTAATTATATTTTCTTAATTCTTTTTATTGCAAAAATCAGAAATAAAAAAGGGAAATAAAAAAAATACACACCTCATCCCTCCTTCCTCTCTTTCTCTTTCTCTCTCTAACGCATTTTTATTTTACAAGAATACAAGTTGCCGAAAAAATTAGATCAGTTGGAACCTTCTCGTCGAACTATCATGCTCTGCCATAGTAGCCACCATCTAGATGGAGTCACCACTCGCTCATCTCTCTTCCTCCCCCGCTTCAGTTTTCAACAGGAGAAACCCTAATTTTGGTTCTTTGTTTACAGATTTGTGCTTCATCAGACCACCGTCGGTGCCACCCCTTAGATGTTTAGGTCTCATCAACCATGAACTCTAAATCTTTCGGATCTCGGTTCTTCTTTTCTGTCAGTTCTTCTCTGGTAGCAATGACGAGCTCAACGTGAAGAAGGCTTTCAAATGGGAGGGTTTTTCAGATCGAAGGGTTTCCAAATCGAAGGATCATAGAGGCGAAGATCTGAAGCTAACAAAGAGGGTTTTGGTGTTTCGAGTGTGAGTCCAAGATAGATCTGAAGAATCGGATGAGCATGGCGGCGGAGATCTTGGGCTTTTCTTGGTGACGATTTAGGGTTTGTTAAATGGTTGTCATCACCTCCGTACAGATGAAGACAAAGGTTGCAAAGATCCCAGACAGTAACCCACATTGGAAACCTATTCCGGTGAGAGGTGGCGACTCCGGCTCCAGTGACTCCAACGTCCGACCGATGACTTTCCAGATCAAGATACCAATAACATCCACCCTCTTCTTCATCAATTTTGTTTTCAGAAACAATAATCGATTTGGTTTTCATTTTTGCTTTCTGGACGTTTTCAGATTTCTTGTTCATGAGTGTTCTTGTTCCAATTTGAGTGATATGGAAAAAATTGAGTTTGTAGAAAATTGGATTGTTCATGTTTGATTGCAGATGTGAAAAAAAAATGATTATTTTGTTTTTCAATTATGAAAAAAATTGCTTTTCTAGAGTGGTGGTGGTGGTGGTGGTGGTTTCCGGTAGCAGTGGTGACCAGACTAGTCTTGTAGGGAATTGTAACATCCGGGATTTCAGGTATATTAATTAATCTTTTTATTTTGAGTTTTGTGGAAGGACTCGGCGAGTTGGTGCATAGACTCACCGAGTTGAGACGCGGTTTTTCACCCGGATTGATGCCCGGACTCGGCGAGTCGCCTTGGTAGACTCGGCGAGTCTGCGCTGTTTAATGAAACCCTAATTTCTCGGGTTTGAGGCCTATTTAAAGGGCCTTATGGCCGTCATTTGCGCTCATTAGTCCCCAGAGTGAAACCCTAGAGCATTTGAGTGATTCAAGTGAGGGAAGGAGCCATTGTTGATTCTTGGAGTTGTTGTCTAGCAAGGGAAGAGGAGATCTAGCCAAGAGGAAGCAAGAGAGGGGTGGATTCTTGAAGAACTAAGGTCCAGGACATCACATCTGAGGTACCATTCGAATCCTTCCTCGTTATTGTGATGTTCATATAGATTTAGGGTTTTTGAACCCATTTGTGGCTGGATCTAGCATCCTCATGGTCCCTTGGCGAGTTATGGCTCTGAATCTAGACCCATAGAGGTCCAGAGCACCTCCTTGCCCAAGCTTTATGTGCATCCATGGAGGTTTTGGGTTGGGATCAATGTATTTGAGGCTAAAACACCATTAATGAGCTATTTGATGCTTAATGAGCACCAAGACTTGGACTTTACGTGGTCAATAAGCTTAAGGGGACTGGATCTATGAGTTACTAGAGTGGATCTGACCTTAGAAGGTCGTTTGAGGTTGTGCATGGAATGCACTCGCCGAGTCCACTCCCAGACTCGGCAAGTTGGTGCGGGTTGTTCAGTGATTACGAACCAGGGACTGAGTAACCGAGTCGGGTGAGTGACTCGGTGAGTCGGAAGAGATTCAGAGGGATCGGGTTCCTGTAGGGACTCGGCGAGTCCACGCCAGACTCTGCGAGTCGGGTCAACCGTTGACTGTTGACCAGAGTTGACTAGTTTGACTTTGTAGTGTTAGTCAGCCAGGGTCAAGGTGGTATTAAGTAGGGTTATGCTTGTGTTGTAGGAGGATGATAGCCCGGGAGGTCGAACACTAGTAGTTACGAGATTTTCGAGTTACCGAGATACGCGAGGTGAGTCTTCTCACTATACATTACCTTGAGTAGGTATTTCGAGTTGACCAGAGGGTCTCTTGTGCTATGTATGAGTTTATGTGTTGTCTTAGAGATTTTGTGATATGTGTTATTTGTATGCTGCATGATTATATAGACCGGGTCGGAGGGCCCAACGATACTGACCGGGCCGGAGGGCCCAACGAGCTATGACTGGACCGAAGGGTCCGACGAGCTGCGGGACTGGAGGGTCCCGCTGAGACATCTTGACCGGAGGGTCGGGTTTAGCCTTGAGTGGCGTATTAGTGATATGTGGTATTTTGGGGAACTCACTAAGCATTTATGCTTACAGTTGTTGTGTTTGATGTCGCAGGTACCAGCGAGGACCGTGGGAAGGCGAAGGCTTGACTTGTACACACCCACACCGATAGAGTTTATGTTAGAGAGATCTTGGGATTTGTATGAAAACACTGTTGTTATGGCTTTGAGATTATGATATGATATACATTTTGTGATTTAAAAATGAAAAATTAAAATGGAAATTTTACGTTGTTACAAGTTGGTATCAGAGCCTTGGTTTGAGGGATTCGGATGCACCTTCGGGCGTATTTGAACTCAAACCGAGGATTTGAGAAATTTTTAAACAAAACTAAAATTTTCTAAAAAGAAAAAGAGGTTTTGGAACCAAGCAGAGTGGAAGGTGTGTACGGTCAGCCAGCACCCGAACGGTGAATCCCCAAAATACCCTTACATTATATGTTATGAGTTATGAGATATTATGTTGTGCATGCTAAAGAGGCTAGGCATTTCTATTAGGACTAGAGTGGCCTGATTTGTGATGCTTTATCCTAGGAGATTGTTGTTGTTATGAGATACTTTGAGAGTGAGTAGGTAGTAGTGAGGAGCTCGTGAGAGGTCTACTGAGGGTAGCCAATGCATAGCGAGAGTAGAGTATTTATGACTTGGGATCCTAGGAGGAGGACTTGGGTTGTATATTGATTTGGTGTGGACGATAGTATTGGGCCCGTACTATTGAAGACACCGGATTGGTGCGCAGTCCAAGTAAGAATCCTTGGGGTACCAGAAGTTGAGAGTGATTAATTTGTTGAGTGTGAGTATGCTCGAAAGTGTCCCTAATAGTTCTTATGTTGTATTTCAGAGATTGATCATGGTCAGGACACGCCATACCATCGAGGGCAATGGGATGAGTGATGAGGAGATCCGCCATATCATCCATGATGAGGTGGCTGCTGCCATCAGAGCCGAGATTCCGGAGATGTTACGCTGCTTTGACTGATGTTGTTGTTGCTGCAGCCACAACAAGTGTTGCTGCTGCGAGACCCCAGGGTGGTGATTCGTTGCTATACCGAGAGTTCAGCAACACGAAACCACCGGAGTTCAATGGTACACAGGATCCGATCGCCGCCATGAGGTGGATCTCAGACATAGAGGGATGTTTCTATACGTACTCGTGTCCGGAGCACTTGAGGGTGCGGTTTTCCCTCAACCAGCTTCGCTTGGGGGCGAAGGACTGGTGGAAGTTTGTGACCGTGAGCTATTCGACAGCCGAGCTGACTGCAGTGACCTGGGAGAGGTTTACTGCAATGTTTTGTGATGAGTATGTTCCCCAGGTGGAGAGGGAACGCTTAGCCCAGGAGTTTCTGACCCTCAAGCAGGGGACTGAGTCGGTGACAGTGATTACGAGGATGTTTCATGAGCGGGCATTGTTTTGCCCGGAACAGGTGTCCACTGAGCAGGCTCGCAATAGCCGATATCTGAGTATTCTGAGGAGGGACATTCGTGAGTTCGTGGTGAACTCGACTTACCAGACATTTGCCGAGCTCCAGGAAAATGCTCGGAAGAGGGAGATTGAGCTTGAGATGCAGGCGAGGGAGGAAGCCGAGTCTCAGAGGGGTGATCGGCGACCGGCACAGTCGCAGCCAGCCGCTAAGCAGGCAAAGCCCGCTGATTCGAGGACGAGTAGTTCGAGGGGCCGTACTTGTGGGAAGTGCGGCAAGAGCCATGATGGGTCATGCAAGTCTAGGGTATGCTACAAGTGTGGGAAGGAAGGGCATTTCGCGAGGGATTGTCCTAAGGGGTTCTCGGTTTGCTTCCATTGCAACCAAACCGGCCATCGGAAGGCCGAGTGCCCCCAGCTTCAGAGGACAGTGCAAAGATCCGTACCTACAATTCGAGCTACTAAGACCCGGCCGGCAAAGGCCGAAGCACCGAAGGCTAGGGGGAGAGCCTTTCAGTTGACAGCGGAAGAGGTCCGCGCAGCACCTGACGTCGTGACAGGTACATATTCTTCATTTATTTATGCTGAGTTTATATTGGGATGATTATATGTTATGCGTAGGTACTTTTCTTGTGAATTATGTACCTGCATTAGTGTTGTTTGACTCGGGTGCGAGTCGGTCGTTCGTATCTGTGACTTTTAGTCAGCACATTAGTATTCCGAGGGAGGCGTTGAGTCGACCTCTGTAGGTTTCCATAGCCGATGAGCGTGAGGTATGTGCTACCGAGGTGATACGTGGATGCGTACTGGAGATCTTCGGAGTGGAGTTTCCGATTGACTTGATACCGATTGCCATGAGGGATGTTTGTGTTATAGTGGGCATGGATTGGTTGAGCCGTTTCGGGGCTGTCATAGATTGCGAGCGTCAGTTGGTGATGATCCGAGATCCTAGTGGGGGAGTGCTGAAAGTTTATGGCGAGGGGACTCGTGGTGGTTCGGTATTCTGTTCGGCTGCCAGAGCAAGGTGGAGCTTGCAGCAGGGCTGCAAGGGATTCGTAGCCTATGTGACGGATGTACGAGAGGCTGTTGGGAGGCCAAGTTCAGTGGATGATGTGCCGATAGAGCGTGAGTTCCGAGACGTGTTCCCCAAGGAGTTGTCGGGCGTCCCTCCCGAGAGGCAAGTGGAGTTTCGTATCGATTTGATTCCCGGGGCCACGCCTAGTGCCGCCAGAGATGCAGGAGTTATCCTCACAGCTGCAGGAGTTGTTGGGGGAAAGGGTTCATCCGTCCCAGTAGCTTTCCCTGGGGAGCACCGATCCTTTTTGTCAAGAAAAAGGATGGTTCGCACCGTATGTGCATTGATTATCGGGAGCTGAACAAGTTGACAGTCAAGAACCGTTATCCACTACCGAGGATCGATGATCTATTCGATCAGTTGCAGGGGGCGTCTTGGTTCTCCAAGATAGACCTGAGGTCGGGATATCACCAGATGAGAGTTCGGGATGAGGATATCCAGAAGACGACGTTTAGGACTCGTTACGGGCATTACGAGTTCGTGGTGATGCCATTCGGGCTCACCAATGCACCCGCGGCATTCATGGACCTCATGAACAGGGTGTGTAGGCCGATGTTGGATCGATCGGTAATTGTATTCATTGATGACATCCTGGTGTATTCGAGGACCAGAGAGCAGCACGAGGAGCATTTGAGAGAGCTCCTAGGAGTTCTGAGATCGGAGAGGCTATTCGCTAAATATTCCAAGTGCGATTTTTGGTTACGGGAGGTCCAGTTCTTAGGGCATCTTGTTAACCAGAATGGGATATTGGTTGACCCGGCCAAGATCGAGGCTGTGATGAGTTGGGAGGTGTCGAGGTCACCCGCGGAAATCCAGAGCTTCTTAGGGTTGGCAGGCTACTATCGGAGATTTATCAGGGACTTCTCCAAAATTGTTGTGCCACTTACCAAGTTAACCCCGAAGGGTGTTACTTTCTCAT